TGCTTAACATTCCTCCCAGAAAAGACACAACCCAATAGCACCGAGTCAGGCACACATCATTGCCAAGTCGACTTTTTTACTGTTGCAAAAATAAAATGAGGAAGTATTAAATTCATGTGATCAGACTGAGGATTTTAAAATACTTTTTATGAATCTTAAGCCCGAGGAGAGTCTGGAGGAAAGCAGGGTGCTGAGAACTTCTGCAAACGTGTTTCCAAACTCCGGGAGCGTGTGCTTGACCCAGCCCCAAACAGGTGATTTCCTTCTGCCTCCCCACCAGGTTCCTTTTCCCCCCAAAACACAAAAGTCAGGCTTCTTTCCCACTTTTGGCAAAATCACTTCTGGTGCACAGAGTTACTGAAGCCTGGCCACATCCCTCAGTCCCTCAAAACTCTGAAATTCCCACTTGCAACTGTCTCGCTCCGGAGGTGTCTATTTAATCCCACTTTTATTGGGAGCACAGCTCCGGGTAGTTTACAGGGGTCACAAACAATGAGGCTTTTATCAAAACTTCAGCTAATCAGTCGCTAACAAGCTCTCAGGAAGGGGCTAGGCAGGCCCAGGCTAAAACTAACCTGAGGGGATAAGAAAAAGGGGGAAAGAAAAGGATTGGGAAGAGGGTGTCCTTCTCAAACCGGATTAGTGCCCCAGTCAGCCACAGAAACACTTGTGAGAGCACAGCAGCCAGAAAAACCAGCGAGAAGAGGACACAGAGCAGGCACTGCTCCTTTCTACCAGGATTTGCTCCCAGCAGCTCAAAGTGCTGCAGCATCTACAGCTTGTGATGAGCTATGATTTATTCCTTGCTTTGTGGCTCTACGGCACTCAGCAGCAGAGAATTGCACTGAGAAAATATTAATATAAATAATCCAGAATGTAAACCCTCAGTTTTCAGCCTGCAGAGTTCAACAGAGACTGTGAACTCAAAACCAAACCAGGCCTGCTGTTGGTAGACTGAACATGGAGGGATCCCCAGGAAACATGGTAGAGTCTGAAAAATCAAGAAAAGGTTTGAAAATCTCTCCCCTTATCATAAGGAGAGCTGGCAAAATCAGATTGCCAGAACTTCAGTCCAGTGCATGACTAGATACAGAGAGGGAGGAATGTACATCATTCTCCTTAGGTAAGGGATAAAAATTAATTTAACCTGTGTACACGTACACAGAATACCCCTCCCAAATTCACAGCAGTGAAACATCTATTGCACACCATCAGATATTCTCTGTTAGCCATTTGCAGGAAAAGTCAGGGGTTGAGTGAAAAAAAAACAGATGTTGTTATAGCATATTAATAGGGAGGAATAGGGAGAAAAATGCTTGGCTCTAAGGAAGGGAAGGATACTAGATCTTTAATTTAATTTGAGCTACTCTTAGTCAATTCCTCATTCTTCTTGAGGGTAGAGACACTGGAGTACTTCAAGAGAAAAGATTATTTTTCCATCTTGCCTCTGAGGATGAAGAACTCATTCCCAATTTCACTGATTGCTGTGGAGAAAGATAGAAAAGAATTTTTACTGAGCAGATTTTATGTGGACCTCGGAGTCACCACCTTGCTCCTCACCAGCCATGGGGGAAAAGCGAGACTCAGATTGCAAATACAGCCAAAACAAAACCTGCAGAGATCTGGAGCCATTGAAGGGATCCTGGTTTCTCTATCCTCCTGGTAAAGGCAGGAGAAGCCAATATGGGTTATTATGTTCTGTTCCCCCAACACACACCCTGTGCCCAGAGCTCAGCATCCTTGGGAAGCAGAGAGAGGCCCAGGTGGGTGCAAGTATCTGTTCCCACTGCTGGGCTGGGCGCTCAGCTCTGAAGCATTTTCAGGTTTCTGTGTTCAGCTGCACACACAGCTGAGATCCACAGCAGGAAAGTGGAGCCTGTACCTACACGTTCAGAGGAGCAGAGCCCCGGAGGCACAGCCAGTGTCTTCCTGCAGGGGGAAAAGTGTGTGCTGCGTGCACGACAAGGACAGGCACAGCACCTGCGCCAACGGTGGGGACAGCACCAGGCAAAGATGGGGAGGATCTTGCTCTCCTGCAGCACTTGGGAAGCTTTGAAACACTTTCCAAGGCAGCTGGCTGGAGAGGTTTGCACTTAACCCCAGCTGGCTGGGGATACAGCTCAGCCAGCTCGAGGTGCCACAGGCTCCTCTACCTCACTGCCCACTCACAGAGCCAACAAAGCTGCTGAAACCCAGCCCCAGATCTGCTCCCAGTGATGGACAGTAGCCTCAGACTCCTACCTCGAAAGTGATTTCAATTTTGTGTTTCGTCATCTCTTGCCAGATCCCCAGTGCATTTCTGTAAGGCAAACGTCTCCCAGAGCTCTCCAGAAAAAAAAACAGAATTTAGAGAGCAGAGAGGCAGAGTGCTGGATCTTTTCATGCTCTCCTCATGCCTTGGCAGAAGGGAGCAGCAACAGGTCTGTACTGAGAGCTGATGATGTTTCGAGGCAACACTGCACACCACTTGCAGGATAAATGCATTAAGAAAATTAAATGTTTTTACAGCCGTCACAGCATCAAAGCTTTATTCTCTCCACTCTTTAAATTAAGTGTTGGTTTGCATATCCATGCCATCCCAGCTGTGTAATAACCTCTCTAAAGCTATTTTTGTTTCACATTCCTTATTATTTGGTAAAGCAAGCTGGAGTTTTCTGAGGACATGCATTTTTATTAGAGCTAATTCAGCATTATTTTCGCACTCGTTTCCTTTGTTGAAGGCAGAGAAATCAGCAAAGGGAAGCTCGAAGGCAGCACCCCATGCCTGTGAGGGAAACTGCATTCCCAGCCTCGCCATAGCCGGGCTGTTCCTCTAGATGGCTCTTGCCTTTGCCCAAAAACATCAAATCCCTGGAGCAAAACCCTCAATTTCGAGCGATACGGCGAAATTGACTCTTGACTGGCTGCTCCTCTCCCTCCTGCAACGATCGCGGGGGTTTTGGCCAAACGGATAAACACAGATTTGTTGTCATTTTAGAGAATAATATTTTCGGCTTAGCTCTTCAGACTCGGAGGGAAATTGCTTTTAAAAAGTCTACCTGTTTCTTGTCCTTTAAATGTCCTTTCTAGCTGTGATTTCCACGTAAACTGCTTGGTTTGGATGCCTGTTGTCCAGCCAGACTTCAAACCGGCATTTTCCAGCGCGACCCTGCTCTAAAAAAGATGAGGAGCTGCTATAAATCTTAAAGAGAAGGAAGCTGAGAAGGGAAAAGGCACCTTATGAAACGTAGTGTAAACTTTTCTCCTGCTGTTCTGGGTATATAATTACGCACGGGAAGCTCTTTTCCCAAGGGATACAAAATAAAATCAGCAAAAGCATCAGTGACGGCAACAAAATAACAACAGAAAAAGAAAAAGAAAAACACACGCACACACACAAAAAANAAAAAAAAAAAAAAAAAAAAAAAAAAAAAAAAAAAAAAAAAAAAAAAAAAAAAAAAAAAAAAAAAAAAAAAAAAAAAAAAAAAAAAAAAAAGCCCCCGAACACCTCTCTTTATGATTAAAGGAAAAAACCCCAAATCCTAATTCTTTAACCCAGACATTTTTCAGTTATTTTCTGTCTCAAAAAACCCCAAATCCTAATTCTTTAACCCAGACATTTTTCAGTTATTTTCTGTCTCAAAAAACCCCATTTGTTCACTGTTTTAAAACGAAATACACAGTTGAAAATCCTTCGGCTATTATATTCCTGCTCAAATCACGCAGGGGACGAAAATTTGAGATTGGAGTCAGCTCGGGAAAGCTTCACTGGTTTACACGTGCTTTTATAACTATTTTATGGAACACATAAAACGCAGAAATTTTTCCCAAACGCTCCTCTCTGCCCCAAATCCTGTTGTCAGACCAAGACACCCGGTGCTTGCAGACAGTGCTTCGTGTTCACACCAGGAAAGGGCTTTTTTTTTTTTTTTTCTTTTTTTTGCATTTTTACCAACAGAAAACTGAATAACAACTCCATTTAAGAACGGGGAATGAAATGTACATCTCATCTACCTGGTGTTTAGACAAAGTCTCTAAATCGTCCCGCACCATCGACCGTATTTTTGTTGTCACACGTGTGCTTTGCCCCCCGGACCAGAAGATTTGCCGGAGCTGGCCCCTGTAGATGCCGGGTGTCGGGATTGTTATGAGCACCGAGAGCTTTTTCTCTGCAAAAGGATGCGCTTTCCGTTCAGGCTGCCCCGGAGCACTAAGGCAAAAATCACTTTTATTCACTAAATCTCGCCCCGCGCCCTCCAGCCCGTTCCGCCCGCGGTACGAGCGAAGAAGCCGGTGGGGTTTGTTTGTTTGTTTGTTTAATTTCGGGAAATTTCTCATCCAAAGTTAGTGAACGGCGATCTCAGCCCCGGCTGTTGGGAGACGGGCGGCAAAACTACACTTCAGGAACAGAGTTGAAGCGAATTCCTCCCTTGGCGTTCCCGTCGGGGGAACCGCAGCGATGCTCATCGCGCATCCCCCTCCGAGCTCAGCGCGGGGCCGAAGGGATCGGGGCCGATCGCATCCGTGGGAAAGCAGGATGGCATCCCAGAGCGCCGGGACAGCTCCGGGGAGGGGGCGGCCGCTGCGGGGGCGACCGGGCAGCGCCGGGAGAGACCCGCAGGTCGGGAAGGGGAGGGACGGGCACAGCACGGGGGGTGGGTCCGGCTCGGGGATGCTGCCCCCGCGCTGCCGGCAGCCAAATCCCTGGCGCCTCCCGCAGCTCCCCCGCCGGTCCCTCCCCCATCGCCGCTCTCGGGGCCCGGCCTCGCCCCCCTCCCTCCGCCTCCCGCCCGCCACCGAGCCGCGCTACTGGCTGCTCCCGGCGCGCCGCCGCCGCCCGCCCAGCCCCGGCCCCGGCCGCGGGCGGGGAGTCGGGGCGCACGGCAGCGCCTATAAGGGCGCCGCTCCGCAGCCCCCCGGGAGTTTTTGGTCTAGGGCCACCGGGGCCGCGGGGCGGGGGGTGTCGCCGGGAGAGCACGGGAGCGGGGGGGAGCGCCGGCCGCCCTGCATGGCCAGGGATTATGAGCGCCGGTGAGTTGCAGCAGGCGCAGCCCAGAGCCTCGGCGCCGGCGGCCGCCCCCGCGCCCCCGCAGCCCCGCAGCGCCCAGGAAGCCCCCGACATGGCCGTGTACTGCAGCGAGAACTTCAGCGTCTACCCCCAGCCCAGCCTTCACCCGCCCGGCGCCGCCGCCGCCGCCGCCGCGGCCGCCGCCGCCGCCGCCGCCGCCGCCGCCTCGTCGGGGCAGCGGGCGGGCGGGTACGCGCTGGGGGACTACGGGGCGCCCGCCAACGCCGGGTACCTGTGGGGCATGAACAGCCCCGCGCCCTACCTGCAGGGCCCGCCCGGCGCCGCCGCCGCCGCCGCCGCGCCCTTCCTGCCGCCCGCCTCGTACGGCTGCTCGCGGGGCGGGCAGCTCGTGGGCTCGCCCCCGGCGCCCGGCTCGCCGTCGGCGGGCGGCGCGGAGCTGAGCTGGCTCAGCCTGGCCAGCCAGGAGGAGCTGCTGAAGCTGGTGCGGCCGCCCTACTCGTACTCGGCGCTGATCGCCATGGCCATCCAGAGCGCGCCCGAGAGGAAGCTCACCCTCAGCCACATCTACCAGTACGTGGCCGAGAACTTCCCCTTCTACAAGCGCAGCAAGGCCGGGTGGCAGAACAGCATCCGCCACAACCTCAGCCTCAACGACTGCTTCCGCAAGGTGCCCCGCGACGAGGACGACCCCGGTGAGGTGCCGCGCCGGGCGGGAGGGATGGCTGGGCAGCGGGGAACGGCGGCTGCGGGCACCGGCGCCGCCGTGAGAGAGGGGAGGCAGCGTCCGCGGCCGGGCGGGTCCCCCGTCCCCTTCTCGTCGGGCGCTGTCCCGACACCGCGCTCTCCGTGCCCCCAGCGCCAGCGCTATGATGAGCCCGCGTTTCTCCATCCCTTCCAGTCGGATGCTGTGATGGGACCGCGCTGCCCGTCCCCTCGGGGGCCAGCGCAGCGAGGAGACCGCGTTCCCCGTCCCCTGACCCGGGCGCTGCGGTGTGACCATCCCCATTCCCCCCGGCCCGGCCCGGCCCGGCGCTGCCCCGCGGGAGGTGTAGGCGGGGGCCGGCCGCCCCAGCCTCTCCCCCTCCCCGAGCAGCCCGGGAGCGCCGGTTGTGCAAGGCCCGGCTCCTTCGGCCCGTGATTCACGGCTCCCCTCCCTGCCCGCCGCTGCCCGGGCCGGCCCGGGGCGCAGCCGGTGCCCGGAGTGGGCGGAGGCGCGCCCGGACAGCGCTGGCCCGGCCCGGCGGTGCCGGGACCTGCCGGGCTGGAGCCGCTCGGGACCTCGTGGGGTCACTGCGCCCGTCCCGGCCGTGGGCAGGAGCTGAGAGGGGACAGCTGCTGCCACCACAGTGCCCCGCACTAAGGCTTGTGCCAGGGGCAGCTTGTCTGCAGCCCCCGCAGCTCAGTGCTGCTGGCCTGCCGTCCCTCGGAGTGCCTGAGTGTGCCAGCCCGCCTCTCCATCAGCTTTTCTATGAGCCATAGCCTGGGCACTGCCTTGCCACCACTGCTGAGATGGCTGTAAGTGGCCCAGCTTCTGTGAGGCAGCCAAAGCAAGGGGAACCCCTCTTCACATTCTCTTTAGCCAGGCTGGAGGTACAGATCTGTCTGTGCTTTAGGATGGGGAGATTCTCCTCTTCTATGTGGCCTTAAGGTTCACGTGGGCATTGGAGGGATAGAGGTGGAAATGTCTTGGAGACAAGTTTTGGATCCATGGACTGGACAACAGAGGGAGAAGGAGCAGGTGCAGGAGAGATGTGGGTTCTGTGCCAGTTGGACAAGACATGGATGCTACTTATCTGTCAGCAGCGGGGCTCGCTGTCGCAGAAGTTGACTTTCTCTCTTGTGTCTCCTGTTTTCCACCAGGGAAGGGAAACTACTGGACCTTAGATCCCAACTGCGAGAAGATGTTTGACAATGGGAACTTCCGTCGCAAACGCAAGCGGCGCTCTGAGCCCAACGCCCCCGCGGCCGCCTCTGCGGCCTCCTCTCTGGGGGGCCTGAAGGCCGAGGAAGAGCGACCCATCCCAGCCACGGGCAAACCATGTGGAAACAGCCCACCCCCAGAGCTGGACCCCTCACCCTCTGCCAGGGACCATCCCAAAAGCTCCTCTCCCTCCAGTATCATTTCATCCACGCCCAGCTGTCTCAGCACCTTCTTCAGCGGCATGAGCTCCCTGAGCGGCGGGGGCAGCCGGCTGACGGGGGGTCTCAGCAGTGACCTGCACCACAGGAACTTCTCTGCTGGACAGCTGAGCAGTGGCACTTTCACCCCTTCCAGCAGCTCTTCTCAGGAAGTGCCTTCCCCAGACCAGCTGCAGCGGGTCGCGGGACCTTCCCCTGCCTACTACAGCTCCTTCCACCCCAGCAGCGGCAGCCAGGGAGCCCAGTACAACCACTACTACAACTTCACAGTCAACAGCCTCATCTACACACGGGATGGGACAGAGGTGTAGGGTGCTGGGGCAGCCAGCCGGCCAGCGCTGCAAAGGGAAAGGGTGTTGGACCATGCGCTTTTGCAAACAGCATTTCAACGTGGACACTTCCCAGGAGTTCTTCCAGGAAGACTGATCTTCTCACCTTTCAACATAAGAACACCCCTTAAGCACCAGCAGAATGCATTGTTTTTTTCCCCATCCAGGAAAACGTTAGGTGGTGTAGGTGGTTTGCCATCTAAATTCTGCAGGCGTGAACTGAATTAATGTTTTCAGAGGTTGCTAATCCTGAATGTAGAACAAGAAGTTTAAAAACCATAGCCATAAAGTGGTCTTGGTAAGAGCCAAGCGTAGACATCCAGTGAGTCGTAGAAGAGAGCAGGAAAAAAAATGAAGAGATTTCTTATGAAGTGCCTTGTACAATGTATTAAAAAACCTCTTCTGCCAGCAATTGCCTCTGTAAGCCCTTGCTTGTGCCCTGATCCTGCAATATGCGATGCACGGGGGGAATACCCTGTATAAACACCCACCCAAAACCTCCTCAAACTCACGGAGGCTCTTCCTGTGTCTGGCATATTGCACAGCAGGGCTGTGTCTTGTAAAACAATCTTCTTTCCCTGAGCTTAGTACCAAAGATAACTCTAGCCACGCAGCTTTAGCACAAGAATAAACACTGGGGTATTTTTATACATATTTGTACGTAATGTAACTCTTCTGTACATACGTTTCTATGTGGTTTTATATTTGTAAATTATGCTCTGGAGGTGTACTTATTTATAATGTGTTTTAAACTTTGTTAAAGTTTATTTTACTTTGTTTCCCCTCCTTTTTGTTGTTTTATTTGTTTTGAATTTTTTGTTGGTTTTGTTTTTGTTTTTAGTGTATTACTGAAACTTTTCAGGCTGAACAGCTGTCGGGAATAAAATATTAACAATTGTTAGATAGTGGCCTGGTTGATCATCAATATGTTTGAAGTATTTTAAAACTCTGTGGGAGACAGGTTTTTCTTTCACATTATTTGGGATAAAAGGTGTAAAAGCTTACAAACAATTTCATCTGCTCAGTAGGGTGGAAAAAAACCTGCTTTGCTCCCAAAGGAGACACATTTCTTGGAGTCTCACTGTGCAGCGTGGGCTCTGTGTCGGTTTTGTTTGTTTGTTTTTCTCAACGCTCTGAATCGCAACTGTCCTTTTTCAGCCCGGTTTGGAAAAAAAAAAAAAAATAAAAGCTTGCAACAGTAAAAGAGGCGGGACTGGTTCCAGCGCGGTGCCAGCTAGCAGGAGGCTCAGTCCGTTTTGCAAATCAGTTTTTCTAATGGGATTGCACCTGCCTACACTGTCCCAGTGAAGAGGTGGCACCAGTCAGCCAGAGGGCCAGGCAGCGCTTCTGGGAATCCTTCCTAAATTCCTGATGTTGGGAAAGGAGAATCCATCATCCAGTAGCCATTATGCTGCATCCCCTCATTCCTGCGTGTTCATGAGCTGTTTGCTGGGGGCTGTGTGCAGTTAGAGCACAAATGTAGGTGTCTTCATGAGGAATGTAGCATCCACCATGAAGTTAAGCGTGAAATTGCAGCTGTTTAAGACCCAGGCATCTGCCGTGATTTAAGGCCATCCCTGCAGGCTATTCACAGGACAAAACAGTTGGCAGCGCCTGTGCACTGGCTACCTGCAGAACATACAGGGCAGTGATGCAAGACAAACCGCTGGCCTGATCCAAAATATAATGAAGCCATGACGAAACATCAGATGACTTCCATGTGCTCGGGGCCGGGACCAAGTGCTTGCCCCGGCACTGGCCCTTTGTGCAATCGCTGGGACCAGTGGGAGGGTGGCAACTCCTGCCTCTCCCCCTCCCCCTCGCCCCTTCCCAAAACAGATACCATCTTCCTGGCTTTAGGGGTAATTCCTCCTGGTTTTAATTCCATAATGGGAGGGAAAGGGCAGACCGACATTAGGAAAAGGACAAGGTGGTCAGTCTTGTCCTGCTTCAATCCCACCAGGTGTGGAATACCTTTATTTGGAGTTTGGGCTGCTGAGTTTGATCTAAGAGCAGTGGAGGGATTCCCAACACCTCTGAAAGATAAAGACCCAGTCCCTAAGTGAGCCAGTTACTGCATACTTACGTTTCTCAGCGACCATTGCACCCATTCTACACTCTGCCAGCCGGCTCTCAGACCTCAGCAAGCGTTGAGCCAAAGCAGCACACTCATGGGCATCCAGCTCTTGTTCTTCCACTCACATTTTTTTAAATTTACCCTCTTCCATCAGCTCTGTCTCTGCAGGCATTACCCATAAATGTTTGAGGATGCAGAACCAATGGCAAATTCACGTTGCCACTTCCATCAGCTGCGTGTTTCTGCACAGCACATAAACTTTTGCTCCTGAGGATCCCAAATCTGACAAATTTGCATTGCAGGGTGGTCTGCACCTGGCAGCATGTCCTCAGCAATATCGCATGGCTCAACAGGCTTTGTGCCACTTCAGTTGGCCGGGGCATAGCCAGAACCTGCCAGAGCAGAATCAGATAAGGATTCACCCACCACATTGCTCCAGCTCTGGTCCCCAGGGATGGTGGTGGGCTCAGGGGAGCTTTGGCAGGTCTGACTGTCCCCATGCACCTGCCCAGCCATAAGCACCAAAGCCTGCTTCTTCCAGGCAAGGTATATCCTTAGCTGGAACCGGGGATTGCTCCGGAGGAGCTGCCCCCGGTGTGCTCGAGGGACACTTGGGAGCAGATTCCAGCAAATAGGCACCCGGCCTGCAGAGGAGACAGCGAACTAGCTAATGGCAGCCTTTTAGGTTTCCTTTTGCCATTGAAAGGGACTTTTTTCAGCAAATCTTGGGAATGGGAGGGCAAGACGATTGAGTTTAATGAAAAGCACTTAAAAGCAGCAGGGCTTTTGTCATGGGTTTAGGGATTTACTGAGACTCCCCGACTGAGGTAGGGGGAAGACAAAGGCAATTAGCCTGCTGTCCCACCCTGAGAGTCCCCAGTCCCCTATAAATGCCAAGGCCATGCCTGGATCGGGCAGTTCTCCATGACAATGAGCCTCTCCCCAGCCCGGGTCAGATGATGGCCCAGAAGCCCGGGGCATGGCCCACTCCCAGGGAAATCAGCCGGGAATTGTCCTTCCTTAGGAGAAAGGCTCAAACTTCAGGCCTTCATCCTCTCTGCTTCAGCAGCTGTGGGGATCACCCCGCAATCAGCCCTTCACGGAAGGTCTGGCTTTAGGGGAGCAGTGATTTCATGCAGATTAGCTGGTAGCCCACGGATCCCAGCTGCTGGCCACTAAAGCATCACAAGAAGCCTCATCTTTGCTTCTTTTCTCCACTCTTTTTAGGCATCCGGAGAGCTGGGTACCACCCAGCTGTGGTACCCGCTGAGAAACCGTGGTTGTGCTGATGACTGCCCGCTCCCTCTGCCACACTCCCAGCACACACAGCTCCTAAAAAAGCCATTCCCCGCTGGAAAAGCAGCACAGGGCAGAGGCATTTCGAGTAACACAGATGCTTGCTGGCTCCTACGTGTGGCATTTCTCCAGCACGGGGTCGTTTAACTCTGCTCAGCGCTGGTCTTATCGGCCTGGCAGAAAGGCTGGGGCAGGCACCCAGTGCAGGTCTGCACTTGAGCTGCTCCGCTGTGCAAAGGCTCTGCCAGTACAGCTGGATCAGCCCCGTCCCCTAGAGGAGACCCAGCTCCCATCAACAAAGGGAACTGCTGTGCCAGTGAAGTGAAACCCCCCACCCCCAGCAGCAGCAGCAGCAGTGTTGGGAGGGGATTCCAGAGGCAGAACAGAGCCATCCGCGCTGGGTTTCATCGCCAGCCAACTCCTTCAGAAGTGGGGCTTCAATTACTGCCACTGGCCATGGATTGTGGTTTGCTGCTCCTCTGAAGGTGGAGGCTTTGATTCGCCCTGTCGCTCACCAAGTCCGTGGAATTTGGCCGTGTACAGAAGGTTTTATTGCCTTTTTTTTTTTTTAAATGCTGATTTGCCCAAAACTTTTTCGGAATAGTTCAAATGATACAATGCTGTTCTAGGAAACTACAAGTATCCCTGCCCTTGCCATCTCTGTATTTCTAGAGATAAAAAATATCTTCATCAGACTTCTTGAGATAAGGCCCTGCAAACCCTGCAGATGTCACCTGACTCTGAGTGTGATGTACCTAATTCTGCACAGCTCAAAAATGGAAGCTGGTCCTCTCAGTCTTGTTCTGATAGCACCACAAAACAAGAGGGACAAAGACACATTTTGTAGCTTGACCAAAGAGAGTCAAAATGAGAATCAGGCCTGGCTGATAGTCCATGGATGGCTGACACCTCAGCTAGAAAAAGCTGTGCCAGATGGAGACTGCAACAATTGGGAAATTGATATTTCTCCTTAGCTTTTGGAAAGTAAAAAAGACTAGTTTTATTGCCCTGTTAAAAAATCCCTTCAAAACTAATTTTTGTTTCAAATTTTTTTTTTCTGATTGATGAAAGAAGGAAAACATGGATTTGCCTTTTCTTTTTTGTCCTGTTTGGCAGAAATCTCCATCAATTTCCGCCCGTGTTCCCCCCACCCGCCCCTTTTTTTCTATTAAAAAGAAGGTTGATGGAACGTTTTTGACCAAATTACTGAGTGCAATATTCACCTGGGTAAGGTGACGAGAATTTGCCCCTCAAGGAATAACTGAAGTGTGATGTAAAACATCAAAGGTGTTATTTTTTTTTTACCTTATACCTGAGCTATCTCTGAATCATATCAAATAATCTTCTGGTTTCATAACACCATACAATGCAGGCTAAAAGTGTATGTGATCTGCTTTGTGTACTGCTGAATGGATGATTAAACTGTCTAACCTGAGGGATAGTCATCCAGGGCCTGCCCCAAACACAGTGAAGTCAGGGAAAAGACTCCTACTGACTTCAGAGGGCTTTGGAGCAGACCCATAATCAGCCAGGCTCTCACACACCTCAGCTGGTGTCTATGAGACTGCCTGGGGACACGAAAAAGCAGCTAAAGGCTGCACATTTGTGAGATGGAAGTTGCAGGCCTGATCCAGGCTTTGGCTGCCCTAGGAGAGGCAAAGCTGTCTCTCTCTGCCCCAGCTCCTCGGATCATTTCCCCTTCCCTGCAGTCCTTCGTGGCTGGGATTTATGGACAAAGCAAAGCTGTTGCCGTGCAGCC